TAACCATGGCAATGAGATGATATACGATAGAATGAATGTAAAACTAATGTTCTCCTATGTAAACTATCACATAATTCACAATAAAACATTTAAGAAAAGAAAAGAAAAAAAAAAAGAAGTAGATTGCTCCTATGGAACAGGTGTTTTTATAAAGTGCTTTTGTGTCTGTTCTGACTCATAGCGACCCTGACAGGGTTTCCAAGGAACGACTAGTGGCTTTGAACTGCAGACCTTTTGGTTAGCAGTCAAGTGCTTATCCCACACCAGGGTTCCTATTGGGTTTGAATTTCCAGTCTTTTGGTTAGCAAACAAGCACTTTGACCATGTACCACCATGGCACACTATAGTAAACTTTGGTTTTTTGTTAAGTGACTCAGTCAGTTCTGACTCAGAGACCCTATATAGGGTTTCCTAGAAGAGAGGCTGGTGAGTTTGAAGCGCCACCTTGTGGCTCAAATAGACATTGCAATCTGGTACTTTACAGCATCACACCAGGATAGAGTAAATTTGTTGTTGTTGTTTAAGTGCTGTCTAATGGATTCCGACCAATAGCGATCCTGTATAGGGCTTCCTAGGCGCAACTGGTGAGCTTGAACTGTCGACCTCGTGGTTCACACCGATTTTCTGGTCCAGTGCATTAACTCACAGCACCAGTCCTGGTGTGGCACTGCGGTTAATGCGCTGGACTGCAAGGTGGATTTGAACCACAGGGCTGGAGGTTCAAATCATGAGCTTCTCCTTGGAAATCCTAAACAGCGCCTCTATGAGCAGGAAACAACTTGACAGCACTTAACAACAACTACAAACAAGGATCACTAGTAGTGCAACCAAAAGCAAGTAAACGAAGAAGACCTTGAAACATCAATGAGCAAATTTAATTTTATGGCTTACTTCCAGGACCAATGTAATTTCTGATGAGTAACACTGTATCTTCATGAAACCTATTTACTAAACTAGGCCAGTCCCTCAAAACATCCAGACAATAGGCAATTTCTTTACTTTTAAATGTTTCCTATCTCTCTATGTAAACTCGAAGCTGAGTTACCTGAAGTTCCAGTGGATATCATCTTTGGACAACTTGGTGAGCAGTAGATCAGCTTGGTAAACAGAACCAGTAGATCTGTAAGGGATACTGGATCTTTGGAAAGAAAGAAAAAAATGAGTCTCTAATATATATTTAAAGTTAGAAAACTCTAACTGATCTGTCATTTACATACATGACTGGGTTTGCATCAAGACTACCATGGAATAAGGACTAAAAAGGATATAGTTACATACCCTAGCACAGAACATGCCCAATTTACAAATTTTAATAATCCAAAGAAATAAGATGATTGAACTAAATTGGTATTTATATAATGTAAATATACATTCTATGAAGAATATTCCCTATGTCACAATATCTTTTTTAAAATTTTTTATGTATATATCATGTTGATTTTGTGTGGTCAGTTCTCAGAAAAACGCATACATTGCCTGTCTACACAACTGTATATACAATAATAACCTTAAGTGTAGAACTAGAGGTTAGAAATCTTAAGAACATAATGCATAAATATATTCATTTCTCTTAATTGCACTTACCTTTTCTATTCTTTAACTTTATAGGAAATAGTTTTCTGCCTTGTGTATAGATCAATAACCTTCCTAAAAGGCACAGTGAGTGAATGAAATAAATATACTGTAACTCTTGTCCTGTGTAATAGACGTTTTTCTGTTTGTTCCCTTAAAAGAGAAGTAAAAATAGCATTACATTTTACAATACCTGACTCACCTACTTCTGAACATTGAACAAGGCAGCAATCTCTAATGGGATCACAGTTATTGGAAATAAAGAGATATAGTTATTTGTTTCCCTTACTATTTCCTTAGAATTATGTAAGATATTTTACACCTAAATCTCTTGAGTAAAAGAAATCATCCTAAGATTTGTCAAACTGCCGAAAAGTATACTATGTATCATGTTCATTCTAAATAAACACCATACGGTTATCGGTTATCAGGGTTGTATGTCTATTATCATCACAAATCACTTCAGGAGTAAGTTAGGGTGAAGAGAAACACAATAGAAAATGCTAGTTACTATTAAATTCTACCAATTAAATGTCAACATAGCAAAAGAACATATTTACAACCATATTTGAAAATTAAATTAGAATAGCTAAATAGACACCTTCAAAGATATTAACTCATTTATTCATACATTCAAGATTAATTGAATACCTATTTTATGCAAAACCCCAAACTATTTGCTTGTATCAAAAATCAATCAGCTTAAATGGTACAGAGTTTTTGTTAAACGTGATAAAAAAAATTTGGAACTAGATATAATCTAATTAATGCTACTGAAGTATACATGTAAAATAGTTGGAATATTTTGTTATATTTATTTCATCACAATAAAAATTTTAACTCTCTTTAAATCAATAAAAAGCATGAAACTGGATTTCAATTCAAATTATGGCAAATATGGTATGACTAGTAAATAGGAGAAGCATGAACTTAGAGGGTGGATGGGGCTAATCATAGAATAAATACTGAGCCATAGAAAGAATGTTCATTTTATTATAAAGTTAGTTGGGTAGATATTTCAGTAGGCGATACATCTGTACACATGGGAGCAGAAACCATAGGTAGTTCATATACAACAACCTCCATTTTTGCTCCGAGAAGTAGGGAGACCTCGGCAGGATCAAGGCAGGGGAGTTGATGAGACTATGACGGCTTACCAGAGCTATCATGGAATATCTAAGGGACAACTTCTAAGAATATTCCAAAGCAACACAAAGGAAGCAACTTACATTAAAAACATACATTTTCACTGTCATTCTACATCACAAATTCTCTCTTCTCAGTTTTCTGAGTACCAGAGAAGATGGATGAGAAATAATAAAAGAGTCTGTAGTCTTCATTAGCTAAGGAAGAAAATAAAGCTATGAAGGGCTAGTACACTAGTAGAGGGGGAAAAAGTCTCTTTTCTAACATGTTAAAGGCAATAAAAAGAGACAGCCTTTAATATTTAATACCAAGAAATCTAAAAAATTTTAAACCTATAAAATTTGTATTTGAGATAACGTAAGTAAGGTCAGTTTGAATCACAAGATTGGCAGTTCAAACTCACCAGCTGCTCTGTGGAAACCCTATATAGGGTTGCTACAGGGTTGCTATGAGTTAGAACTGACTCAATGGCACTTAAGAACAACAACAATGTAAGTTTATATATTCTTTTCCTGTATCTTCCTCTGATGAATAAATTCTAGCTCTGGATATCAACTTCTTACTCTAGCTTTTGAAACATGCACAAGGCCTTTTTAAAGTGTTGAAGAGCAAAGACATCAGCTTGAGGACTAAGGTACACCTGACCCAAGTCATGGTATTTTCAATAACCTCATATGTATACAAACGTTGGACAGTGAATATGGAAGATTGTAGAAGAACTGATGCTTTTAAGTTATGGTGTTGGAGGAGCATATTCAGAGTGCCATGGGTTTCCAAAAGAACCAACAGATCTGTGTTGGAAGAAGTGCAGCCAGAGTGCTCCTTGGAGGCCAGGATGGCCAAACTTCGTCTTTCATACATTGGACGTATTTGTTAGGAGGGACCAGTCACTGGAGAAGGATATCCTGTTTGGTCAGGTGGAGGGTCAGAGAAAAGAGGAAGACTTCCAGCAAGATGGATTGGCAAAGTGGCAGCATCAATGGGCTCAAGCGTGGCAACAACTGTGAGATTAGCCTAGGATTGGGCAGTGTTTTGTTCTGTTGTGCATAGGGTCGCTATGAGTCAGTACTGACTTGATGGCATCTAACAACAACAATTAATTAATGGTCAGTTCATTTTCCTTGTTTTAAATTAAATAAAGAATTTAGCCAATGATAAAGAAAATTACATTTTCATACTCTTAAAGAACTTACTAATTTCATAGAGAAACAACATGCATGAAATAGAAGAGAAAGATAAAAAAAATCCAATCTGCATGGCTAGTTGTATAATGTAAGCACAGTACAATAAAAATTCAGAACAGGTAGAAAAGTCTTCTTGAAATATTTAGGAGGAAATCTATTATTTAACAAAAAATAAGAAACATTAGTATAAAATGAGTAGAGGTAACAGGAGCAAAACTGGCAAAGGCACAGGTATGCAGGAAATTTTGACTATAAAGATGTTTCATTTCATAACTAGGATCAGCAATACATTGAGAAATTAGGACCAGATTATGAAACACTTAGGACATTTTAGCTCAGATTAAGGATAAACAGAAAGGAATCACAAGGTAGGGTTGTTGTTGTTCTTGTTGCTAAGTGCTGTACAGTCGGTTTCGACCCACAGAGACCCTGTATAGCGTTTCCAAGGAATGACTGGTGAGCTTGAGCCGCCGACCTTGCGGATCAACCTAACTTTGCAGCCCAGTGCATTAATTCACAGCACCACACTAGGAAACCAGGGTAGGGTAGGATGTCTAATTCAAAACAATACAAGTTCATGGAAATTTTCATTATCTTTAATTCCATTTTTCATGAACTTTTTGAAAACTGCCCCCATATTTTATGGAAATTTTCCTACTATTGAAATGCAGAGTAGATTAAATGCTATACTAGATGATAAATGACATACTAGAGGAGGAAGGAACAGATAAAATATTACTATGGTATGACAGACTAAAACAAATCCCCAAGTATAAATTGAAGAACTAGATACAGGTAGAACCAATATAACTACATATTAATGTAAAATGCAGATCTATTATAAATAGTTATTATTGTGGTATGTATTTGAAACCTGTGGAAATATTTTATATAACTAGCAAAGGTGATGCAATTTACTATGCTACTACCAACTATCCAAAAGAAACATTTTTACTAATAAATTTTACCATTTTATAAAATATGTAATAAAAAAATAACATTTACCACAATGCTTTGAATGTCTTAGACTTCCATCAGCTTTCATGATCTCACACAATTCCAAGTACTGAACACACTGCTGAACTGCTGTGGTTATCTGATAAAATAATAATAGCTTATTAATTTGAGAAACTTAGAACCAAACTTAAGTGCAAGTATTAAAAGAAATTAGTTAAGGTCATAAAAAGGCTTTTTAAAAATATTTTAGAAAAATATTTAGAATAGTACCTTTCTGGTTCACGTAAGCTCATTCTCCCCAATTATATTTTAATTACGACATTATTCTGAAGAACACTGAAAATATATGTAGACCAACAAATATAATCTTTCTATAATGTTGGTGTCACACAGAAATAGGCACAGACTTCACATTTCAGAGTAAATGATGCAAAACTCTCCCAGCTCCTTTATTTTGGAGTCTTTCTTCTAACACAGCCAGAAAAATCTCAACTGGATATGTTCATGTTTAAATGCTACTGAAGGAAGTCAGTAAAGTAGACAGATTTGGTTATAGAAGAGAAAGGGAATAATAACTGATAGGAAAAAAGCACCCAAGAGGCAGGAGCAGCTAGCATGCAAGTCAAGGGAAAGATCAAACTTTACCTAGGAAACAGTGAAGGTTGTGTGGGAAGGCTGGTTCATAATTGTGGAGTTAAGGAATTGATGAATTGCCCAAGTTCATTCATTTTTATGACCTCCAATTACATGTACAAAAGATAAGTTAAATATCAGATCTGAAGACTGCTATCCTTAGAAATGCCTGCTTGCTAGGCTGGCATCTGAGAATTTAGATGGCAGGAGGATTCCTACCATTTCCAGATGACATAAACAGTGGGTCACTATGCTTAGATTTTTTGTTCAAACAATGTGGTTTATGCTGAACACCGTTTTCGTTCTGTGAGTGTAGAATTTTGATAAGCACTAGGCAGAGGATGCCACATGATCAAGACAACATTCAGCATGTAGTCTCTCACAATCTTTCCTGGTAGATAATATTTCAGGCATGTCACAGATAGTAGCTGGAAGAATTAAATGCATCTTGTGTGACTTCCTTACGAGAAGACTTTTGAAGTCCTCCGGACTTCACCCTCATGCACCTTTTTCCTTTGCTGATTTTCCTTTGTATCCTTTTGCTACAATAAGCCATAACCAGAAGCATGAATATATTCTGAGTCCTCCTACCAAGTCATCAAATCTGAGGGTGGACTTGGGGATCATCCCCTCTAATACCCAAGTGTCTTGTTTAAATGAAACTTTAGAAATACACACCATAATGGGAAACTGACACCTGGAAATGCACACCTCAAACACAGTATGACCAAACTTAAAGTCATTGTCTTTTCTAATCAATGTATTTCTTCTCATATGTTACTCATCTCAAAGAATGGCATTAATTACTCAATTGCCTGAGCCTTCGCCCACCCCTCTATTCAAAAGTCAAGTCCTCTAAATTCTACATTCTATATACAGTATCCTGCATCCATCCATTACCTGCATTCCTACTGCCACAGACTTAATTCATGCTTCTTCATATTTTACTTAAGAGTACTGCATAGTCTCTTAACCACCGTTTTGCTTCAACAATTCCCTATCTCCACACACCACTTTCAACCCATTCTCTAAATTTTCTAAAACCTTAAATAATTGTGATTCTTCAAAACTTAAAAAACCATCAATGGGGGACAACAAACAAGATGGTGGATCGGGTGGACGTATAGCAGAGAGCTCCGCCAACAACAACACAGAAT